ACTACTACTACTACTACTACTACTACTACTACTACTACTACTACTACTACTACTACTACTACTACCTACTACTACCTACTGCTACTACTACTAGCGATGCACTTGTTACTGCTAGTAAGGCACCTGTTACTACTAGCGATGCACTTGTTACTACTGTTACTACTGTTACTACTACTACTACTACCACTACTACCACTACTACTACTACTACGACTACGACTACGACTACTACTACTACTACCACCACCACTACTGCTACTACTACTAGTACTGCACTGGACGACGACTACGACGACGACTACTACTTCTACCACTTTTGATTTGCAAAGTCACTGTCCACAGCACTTTACACGTAGACGATACCTCCCCAAAAAAATTGCAAAAGGATTGAAAAATACGATAACAGCCCCAAAACGGTACCTGCCTTAAAACTACCCACCAAGTGACCCCTAGTTTTGCCGGTCGCTCATATACTAAAATATCCATGTATCGATGTTCCAAGGTTGTGACTATTTTTTGTGATGTTCATGTTCGGTTGCTGACACATGTTAGCGATGTTCTTGTGTTCGCTCTTTTTGTTGACTAGATCACTGCCAAAAGGTAGGCAAGAACACAGGCCGGGGGTTCATATTTTTAAGAGGATGAAATTGAAGTTTCCAGATGTAAATCGTGCAATTAAGATTCTCTCCTTCGCATGTTTTTGGACACTGGCCCAGCTCACTCTAAACGGCAACTTGTAGGATCTAGTTCCCACTGGAATGGGTTTTGTAAAGAACTGTACAATGTAAACCGTTTTTGCCGAGACAGCGAGGCATCGGTTCTCAATGTATATCATTTTTTTCGGGGGTTACTTACTCTCTGTAAAACCGATCAACCCTTCAACATAGCAATGCTGGCGAGGTCTCCATGAGACTTACAATATTTACAAACAGAGGCGTTTCGATTGGACGTGTTCCGTGGTTCTGCCTTGTCCTTCCACTTGGGTGCAGGCAAAGGATGAACTGGCAACCTTTGGGGATTTGGTCGTGTCTGGCCTTTGGTTTCTTGGCCACTTGGCTTTTCTTGTGTGTTTCTTTCTTTAGGCTTTCAGTGCCTGAAGAAGACTTGGAGATCAAAGAGCTTATGGCAAGAAGACAGGCAGTGGAAGATAGCCTTGCCAATGCCCCAAACTTGTCGAACCGATTGATGTGAGGTCAAGGTGGTTGCTCTTGACGGTTCAAGGAATCACAGCCAACTCTCATCATGTCTCACAAATGATTTGATACTGGTCGATAAGATATTTGACTACGCAATTGATTCAGCAGTTGCAAAGAACATATATATAATTCTATATAGCCTATCCAATATGGCCCGAACAAAGCTTGCTAAATTTGCATGTCCTTTTTGCAAACAAACGGAAGAACATGCCGCCATTGGACCTAGTTCAAAGATGAAAATTAACTGAGCAATGCAACGAACGATGTTCTCTATCCACTTGAGAACATGGAAAGCGAAACAATACATAGATTGAATATGTTTGACTCTGTTATGAGCTGTTTGAGCTCATGGACACAGATGGCGCAGAGAGCTGAGACATTCCGAGCGCATCCGAACATAATGGGATGTTTGCTTTGCACGATAAATAAATATAAGAAATTGCATTTGTTTTGCCATAGAAGCACTGTGGTTGTGCCTTTGGAAGTTTTATGGATTTGTATTGTTTGTGAGGTGAGCAAGGAGGAGTTCTTGAAGGATTTTTTCAAGACCTTCAAGGCAGAAAGTCCAAAAGTTGAAAGAGACCAGGAGAGACGAGGAGTGGTGACGTGAACATTTAATTGTTTTGGCCAACTTGTTGCAGTTGGATTCGCAGGCAGAAGAGGCAAATATCCGAGACGCATTGGCCTCTGTGAACGGCGAGGCCAGCAAGACGTTGACGAAGCAGTGCGCATGATGCATTTGAATGTGTGATGTGGAATCAGGAACAGAAAGCACCTTTGACAAGCAGCCACCCCTCACTCCGTTTGCTTCATCCTGACTGGTTTCTAGTGTTTTGCTAATATTTCATAGTTCATGCCTGTTCATGCTCTTTTGCTCGACCTCAGGGAAGCACATAGCACACTGTTCCGTGTCGTCAAGGTTCACGAGCAGTTGGATGGGCTTCTTCTGAGGCTGCAAGAGCTGGAGGCGTAAAGGGTGTAGATACCGTTGAACAGCCTTGGAATGTCCTCTGCACCCATTTGGTGGATTACCTTGGCACTTAGCACATCGGAAACATCTCACATGTATTCAGATGTCACCAGGTGGAGCACCAAATGTGAGCACCAAATGCGCCTCTCCAGGCCAGCTTCACGCGGCAAGCACATGTGCTTCCAGCCTATGATGTGTAGTCGACCTGGAGAGGAAGTTGGAACAAGATTGATCAGCTTGCAATGCTTTGCTTTTGTATTTCTGCTCTTTTGAAGTACACTGTGAGGAAGGATTTGCAAGTCACAGTCTCTCTCAGGATCCAAAAATAGAGAGGTTGTCGGTTGCCACTTTGATGTTGTTGTTGTTTCAGTCTCGAGATATCTCAAGCCCCACGGTTTACTTTAGCACTCTGAGGCAGCAGTACCGCAGCATCTTGAAGGCGGGCTCGGCTGTAAGGCCAAGCGGCACTTTCTACGTCCATTCTGTCAGGTTGCTCTCCAACCTAGCAAAAGGAACCTAATAGCAATGGCCTCCAACCTAAGAGCGAGGACATTCATGTAGACACTTCAACCTGATACAACATGCTAATATGGCTAGTTGCATTACGGCTTGAGCACTGGACTTTGCCGAGGGATTGACATCGGACTTGGCCACACGTCGAGAGCAGCTAGCTCCCAGAAAGAAGTTGGCAGCTTGGAAGGGTCTGTAGTGCTCTGCATGTGCTTCGCATGTCGGTGTGTAGTTTTACACACGGTGCGTATTTGTGAAAGTAAAGGCCTTTTCAGTTGGAGGAATTTCCTGATGTTGCGTCGTGGCAAAACCTTCTCTTGAGGTTCAGCTTCAAGCGGCGAAATCCGCCAGGACCAGGACTTAGCGAAAGTGAACTAAGTGAACGCCCAAAAGCCTTTTTGTTTGGCTCTGTTTGACTTCGAGCCCTTTAAGCCTTCCAAAGCCTTCGACTTCGTGTTGAGGCGAGAGTAAGGGCTACACAACTTCGACAAGTTCAGGCGTTGGTGAAGCATCAGCAAATGCAGGAACAATTAGGGGAGAGCAATTCGAAAAAGCAGTTTAGCCTAAACCATTGAAGCTGTGTGGCCGAGTGTCCTGCTGTTTTTCATACCATCCTTGTTTCCATGTATTTCTTCCAGACCTGCCAAAAGACCCAAATGCTGCATTCCACGGCGAGCGATTGGATGACCTGGAAAATGAGCTCATCATCCGGAAGCCGGGAGACTTGCAGGCGTTTCCAATGAAGGTATATGGAGATGCCTTCTGTGAAGCAAACCACCAACGGCTCCTTGCTTGTTTGAAACAGTGATTAATCACACATTGCAAAGAAGTTCACGTTCTCATGATCTTGCTGGTGGATCCTTGTTTCTTATATGTGTCCTCTTGTCTTCCTCACACCCCTTTTACAACCATTGCGTTGCCACATGTTTCCTCCTTCGGAAACCGTGTTCGCAGGGAAGGGATGTGTGGCTAAGCCATTTGCGTGGCTGCCGGGTGGTCTTCTTGGATCGGCACCTGGGAGGAGGTTTGAAGTTCCGACCCGTCGGAAGACGAAAGAAACGACGTGTTCAGCTTCTCACCTGTGTCGCTTCCACACAGGAAGATAATGATGTAAGTCGAACAGCTGAGTAGCGTTTTGCGTCAAACGCACTTTGTCAGTTCGACTGAGAATTGGAGCCTTGCACGTGCACCATCTGAAGCAGTGCGAAGTCGTGGTCGCAGCTGAATCCTGGCCTGACAAATGTGTTTGTAATTGTTTGTAGTGATCGGAGATCCTAAAGCCAATCCCATGATGTCCAAAGTCTATCAAGAGATGTTGTTCTTTTCATTCAGTTGCTTTCGAAACAGATGAATCGAAATGCATTTACGAAAGATGTGCCGTTTCGCTAAGAAGCCGAGGTTTCTTCTTCTGCCATGTTGCACCACTGTGAGAACTGCATTTTTACGCTTGCGGTCGGGGGCTTTGAGAAGCGAAGAGGCTTTGGTCGTTTGAAGCGAAGGATGGACTCGGACCAACGACTGGACTGGTGACCTCGGGCATGTCTCTTGCATGCCCCTTCAGGTGAAACAACTGCGACTTCACGACTCTCAAACTGTGGCTTTACATTTGCACACCCTGCTACTTGCCGGCAGTGAGTCTGAAGACAAGTCCACACAGCGACTGGCTGATGGAATCTGATGAAACTTACGGGCACAATCGTGCACATGTCATGTTGTGTGCAGCAACCCATAGCACATGGGCTATCAGTTCCACCAAGCCAAAGTCCCGAAGCGCAGGTCTGGGCCCATTATCGAGCACTGTCAGCGGGTGGCCTTTGCCCCTATTGACCTTCACTGCCCAGAAGGCGGTGAAGACTTGGTTTCCCTCAGACAAGGGATGTACTTGTAGAGCACACTGAAGACTTGGTCGCTCAGGAGCAAGACTCTTGCAAGAGGCATCCTTGGGTGAAACAGCGGAGGCAAGAGGCATCCTTGTGACTTCGAACGACTTCAGAGCCTTGACAGAGCTGCCTTCAATGTGCGAGGGCGGTGCGTGGAGCGAAGTGCAAGACTTCAACTGGTTGAAGCGGCAGGCGACACGCATTGCGCTCACGGATTCTCTGAAAGCATGGCTTCAGCAATTAGAAACAAGAAGCTACTAGGAACAAGTGCATCGCTACCAGTAACAAGTGCCTTACTAGTAAGAAGAAGAAGCAATTAGAAACAAGAAGCTACTAGGAACAAGTGCATTGCTCACGGATTCTCTGAAAGCATGGCTTCTTCCCTCCTTTAATCTTCCCTAGTCCCTGGGCAGTCTTTGAAGAGTTTGACCGACGTAAGAGTGGCAACCCAGACACCTGGTCCCCATGTCTTGTCTTGGCCGTGTCCAGTGAATCGCATCTCGCACCGTGCTTCGGTCCACCTTCGCACCGTGAAGAGAAGGGGTCGCCCTGGGTCGGGACGTCTGTCAATTCCGTAGCAGTGAAGGTTAAGTTCCAAACATCTAGGAACTATCAATTAAGGGCTCTGCATCCAAGCCTAGTGGCGGCCCACTTAATAGCTACAACATACCCCGTACTATCCCTTACTACTCGCATCGGTCCGCGTCGATGTGGACGTCCAGACAAGTAGCATCTAGTAGCAATGTTCGCTACCAGGGGCTCCTGGCCTTACTACTAGCAAGGACGCTACTAGGGGCTCCTGGCATCGCTACTAGTAACAAGTGCCTTACTAGTAGTAACAAGAAGCAATTAGAAACAAGAAGCTACTAGGAACAAGTGCATCGCTACCAGTAACAAGTGCCTTACTAGTAGTAACA